TGTATGCCGAAAAATGGTTAAATTGGCAAATTTTATTTTTGTGTATTTTACCACAATAAAAAATAAAGTTAGGAAAAAAATAAAGAACGACCCCTCCTTACTGCCGTAGGTTTGATGCTTATAACCTAATAGAGAGTAAAGGATTTAAGAGAAGTTTTCAGTTGGCGTGTGATGTGGGTTAATGGAAGTTTGAGAAGACGAACTCCAACCCCAATCTCTAGATTCAGGTGTAGTTGGGAAAACTGTGAGGGAAATAATGGGTATGGCCATGAATTTAGGGAACTGTCACTTCTATGTTCAAGGGAGGAGCTTGTGGCAGGACTGGACCTAGAGGCGCTTCTGTAGCTGGTGATGAAGCAGTTCCTGACTTGGGTGCTTACCCAGGTGGTAGCTGTTATGTTTTGTTAATTTATGCCTATATAGCTTATAAAGAATTTTTCATGGTTTTCTTTCATAATCATCTTATGTTTAAACATATAACTGTCTTATCTTTAATATGAATAATATTTTTACAAAAGTATAATGACCCATTTTAGATAAATGGTATTATTTGCTCTTTATAATTAATGAAGTCATCTATTAAAAGAAGACTATATAGTCCTTTCAAAAGATAGAATAATCATATCTCTTTAAATATACAATACTCAGTTTTTTTCAAGAGTAATGAGCTTCTCCTCGAAGAAAAGAAAATGATTATATTTTCTTTTTAATTTTATTTATTTATTTCTTTTTCCCCAAAGCCCCAGTAGATAGTTGTATGTCATAGCTGCACATCCTTCTAGTTGCTGTATGTGGGACCCGGCCTCAGCATGGCCGGAGAAGCGGTGCGTAGGTGCATGCCAGGGACGCGAACCCGGGCCGCCAGCAGCGGAGGGCGCGCACCTAACTGCTAAGCCATGGGGCCGGCCCCTGTATTTTCTTATTAACCGTGAAGATCTTGCCCTTTGAAAAGTACAATACGGTTTTAAAAATATATGACCTTTGCCTTTCAAAATATCCAGATCATGTCTCGTAGACATTCAATGATCCTGCCTGTAATAAAGGCAATTTAATGTTATGTGTCATTTCCTGAGGAAGTGTAAAAATCTAGTAGTGATGACAATGGCACACACACATGCCAACCTGGGTGTATCTCAGAGACACAATATTCAGGAGAAAGAAGCCAGACACTAATCCATGGGTCTAATATCTGTAGTATGTGTAAGTGTGTGTGTGTGTGTGTGCGTGTGCGTAGATAAGAGAGAGACTAGTCTTACTGTTTGACATGGGCGTGGGTAAGTGACAACACCAGTGTGAGTGTCTATTTTCTCTCTGTAAAAGCAGCATGACAACAGTGTGACTCTCTAAGGGTTGTCACAGAAATGACGTGAGGAAAGGCATGAAAAGCCAGGAGGGTGGACTCTCCACAGGGACCCCCAGTGTTCCTCCTGCAGAGAACTTCACCCAAGATTTTGGTCCCACTGCATCCCCTGTGCACAAAGTTATCATCTGTCATCATGACTGGATTTCATCAAGTTTTCAGAGCCCTCATCATTTTGAGTAGGTCTCTGTAGGAAAATTATTCCAGGGAGAGGGAACAGCCAGTGCAAAGGCCCTGGGGCAGGAGCTTGCTTGGCCCCATTGAGGGTCAGGAAGCCACTCTGACCACAACAGATGGGATGAGGAGGATCACATGAGATTGTACGCAGGGCCCAGGTTGTACAGGAAAGTGCTACTCAGAGGGTGATCTGCAAGGAGCCAAGGAGCTTCGGCCAGAAAGTAGACCAACCACACCACTAAGTGCCCTTTATATTTCAGCTGACATTTTCTTCATTGCAAGACATTCTGCACCAAAACACAGAGTTAATTTCTCTTTTGGTAGAAACTCCCTGTCTTGCTGCAGACCAGCACTGTGTCACCTGGGCTTGTGGGCTGTGTTGAAGACATTGGATTTTGGTGTGATTGAGATGTGAGTGACAGGAGGGCTTTGAGCACACAAAGGATGACCTGACTTGGATTTTGAAATAATTTCACTCTGAGGATTCAGAGATATCTACTGTGAGGAGATAGGAATAAGGGAAGGGGGAACAAGGAGGTGGCAGGAAGACCAGTTAGGAGACTATTACAATAGTCCCATGTAGGAGTGGTGGTGGTTTGCACTTGAGTGTTTGGATTCTACTTATGTTTTGTAGATGGATTGCAGGGTTTGCATGTGGATTAGAGATTAGTGGGTGAGCAATAGAGGCATCAAGGATAGTGCAAACATTTCTGACTTGAGCCCCTGGAAGGATGGAGTTGACCTTGACTGAGAAGAGGAAGACTCTGGGAGGATCAAGTTGGGAGGTAGGATGAATAAATGTTTTGGTTGTGGACATGAAACATTGGAGGTGCCCCATGGCGTCCTGGATAGACACCTCAGAATGACTTAACTCGTCCTCTTCCAACCCACTTGAGAAACACGAGAAAGCCTGGGAAGCTGAAGACAGCAGTTCCCAGATCTCTGATAAAAGATTCACACAAGTGAAATGTGGAAGAGGAAAGTGGGTCCTGTGAGCTGCAGGTGGCGCCTCTCCTGACACTAAAGGCCAAGGACTTGTGGGTCCCAAGCTCATCTCAACAAAGAGACTGCAGAGGTGCTGTGGCCCAAGACCAGCGCAGTGTCTTGAGTTCCCAGTTTTTCATCAAGGAAGTAGGGAGAGCTTCCTTAGCAAGCTGAATCTCTAGTCCTGCCTTAGGAGATCTTTCTGGAAGCTGCAACTTGAGTCTTCTTCCTAATATAAAATTTAAATTTTTAAATATAAAAATTAAAATTAAGTTAATAAGTAATAGTTGTCTAAAAAAGGAGCAGGCCATTTATGGACTTGTGATGATACTAGGTCATGTATTGAGGATTATGACTTTTTAATTCCATCCCCATGATGTCAAAAAAACCAACTGAGAGAACATGTCAGTCTCTATCATATGTCATGTGGACAAAGACCTAAGACATTTGGGCTTCTCAGGTGAGTCTTAATCATGTGTGTAAGGCTTGCCTGATGAGTGCATATCTTATTCATGCAGCTGACCTACAACCGCAAGAAGATGTAAACTTGGTGTCATCCAGCCCACGGCATCCAGAAAAATGAAGTTATTATTCTGTTCCTGATAAGCACACTGTGAGTAAAACCAGTCCTGGCTCCCTCGTCTTGTGTATTCTGTTTCCTGTATTTGTGACAACACTGGACTTGGCCATGATGAGCCCTGTGTCTCTGTGTCCTGTTCAGAGTGATCACAGGAAGCTCCTGACTTGTCCTGTCTGGGCCACACTGAGGAGATCTGCCCCACACAGCAGCAGCTCCTCTGGACGGAACCAGAGTCATCTCCAAATAACATGCTCTGAAGCTACTTACTGATTTTCACTTTTGGGCATTATCTAAGGTCTTCCCTCTTGGAAGATGAGGACTCAGCTCCTTTCCTCCACATCACCATCATACACCCCCTTCCCATCCCCATCTCTCCAGTGTTTCCCTAAGACCAACACTCCGTGTGGACTTTATGATGTCTATTTAATGGTTTTCTCCTTTTAGCGAACTAGCTCAATCAGCTAGTGATTTATTTTTGCCGCCTTAGATGTGGAGTCCAAAATTTGAATCTCTGAAGTTCATCAGGCCTGGAGAACCTTCCCTCTGTGAGCTACAGAAAAGGGGGGTGGTGGGGCGCACAGTTAGAGACCTATAATGACGCAGAGCAGAAACCACCAGACTCCTCCACATCTCTCTTCACAACCCTCCAGGTTCCCCTGTGGTGGTGCCGCCCTCTGGTGGCCAAATTTCAAAGTGCACCTCCCAATGCGGTCAAACTTTCTTTCCAAAGGGAGCCCATCAACCTATGGTCACCCCTGCTGCAGAAGCAGCAACATCAATTGCAGGACTAGGAGTAAAGTAAAAATCAGGGCTCTTTGTTCAAAAATCATGAAGAATGTCAAGATAGTGAAAGCACAGCATTAAACCTACCACAGGCCCTTCTTAAGTGAGCTCACAGAATGCGAGCCCACGAAGCTGGCCCTACCCAGCAGAGCAAATGGATGTGTTCATCCTCCAAGTCAATTCCACACCAAAATCAAGTCATAAAAAACCTACAGACCTACAGCACCTATTGTACTGAATGGTGACAACTAGAAGCTTTCCTGCTAATGATGAACAAGAAATGGCAAGTATTCTGAACGCCTTAGTGAGACACGTGTGCTCCAAAGGGTGTAAGTGGATGCCTGCTGATAGTGAAGATAGAAGACAATGACATCAGTGTTGACAGTGACATCAGTGACAGGGTCAGCTCTGGTTATCAACACTGTAGGCCAAGTGTGAGAGTTCTATGGGCTGTAGGGCCATCCACATTCGGGACCATTCAGGGATCTGCTCTGTCTATGAAGGTGTTAGGGCTCCAATAGTCTGGGGCATGCTGGACACACCCTCCAGAGGAAAGGACAAGTTTCTGCACCTGTACCTCCATCCAACCCACGTGAGAAGGATGAAAGGTGCTTCGTGGAGCATCTGGCAGGACCTAATGAGAGAGTTCCATGCAGACTCCTAGGGTTCAGAGCAAGGCCATGCCTTCTGCAGCAATAGAAAAACAGATCCTGACCTGTTTCTAGGCCTCGGGAGAGACAGAGTGACTGAACATGGACTGTAATGTGACCAAGGAGCCAGAATGCCTCATCATGACGTCAGTTCTATCACACCCACCAAAGTAAGGTCAGGTGGGGAGAGGAGAAGCATCACAAATGGAAGTGGTACATCCTAGATAAGAGGAGGACAGGTGCTCAGACTGTCATAGCACCTACCACTCCTCTCTGACACCTGTCACACAGCTCTCACCTGTGCACTCATGGGCAGTTCATTCTGACTAGTCAACAAAGGAGGAAAAGGCTCCACACTCTCCAACTTCATTCTGCCCCCAATCCTCACCCCCACCTTAGCACCCTCCTGCCTGTCCCCAGGCTCCTCTTCAGCCTTACTCAGCCACACACAAATCCCTTGGGGACGTGGCTCACTTGCTGACTCAGCTGAAGTAGGTCTCAGGGTACAGGGGTGAGGTCTGGCTTTTCTACAGTGCTCCAGGCTTTGAGAGCAACCTGCACTTGTCTCAACTGGTCAGAACTGGAGACTGGAAAACTCTGGCCCTAAATTTGGTCCTCACTGCCACCCCTGCCCTGCATTCCCCACCTTCTCCCAGGCTCCATCCCAGATCCTTTTTCTAGTCTGAATATCTCCTGCTCAAATTCTCTTCTTGACTTGATGCCCCACGTGCCCTCAGCTCAGGTCTTCTGTATTCATGGTGTCCTCCATCCTCCAGTCCTTCATCGTTGTCCAGACTCTTAACCCCCAAGAGATGCTCATTTCCCTCTCCCTGTGGTCACCTGTCCCATGTCCCCTTCAGCCTATACATCTGGTGCTCCCCTTAGTCCCCAGTGTCAGGGCACTAATCTGAGTCTTCCAGATCTTTCCTTTTCCCCAGTCATATGTCTCACATCATCCAAGTCTGGAAGGATGGCGCCCCACCTTCACCGCACCAGCTCCAGTTGCGCCTCCCTCAACAGGGGGTCAGCTGCTCACTCATAATTCTCAGCCCCATCCTGGGGTCCCCCCAAAAAGAGCCCTCCTGCGTGGCCCCACTAGATCCCAAATCATGCCTGACACCCTGCAACCCCACCCAGGATTTCCTATTCCTCATCCAGACTCCGTGTGGTCCCCATCCCTCTCTGGCCCCCTTCAACGCCCACCTCTGCTTACCCACACTTCACCTCACTGCCGGGTCTCCAAGGATTCAGCCAAACACCCCAGAGACCAAAAGCAGCAAAAGGACAGAGAACCAGAGGACAGATCCTATTTACCATTTCCCAGGTTCCATTTGTGGACTCTCCTTAGAATAGGCACATGGAGATTGTGAAAACAACAAAGAAAGCCAAGAAATGAGGACACAGATGTCTGGCCTCAGCCCGAGGCTGGAGAGGGCTCTGGACAGGGTGGTTCTGTGCGGGTATACGGGTGGCTGACGTGGCAGGGACTGATTGTCCACTGGAGTGATTGGGTTTTATGACAGAATAGTTTAAAAATCTGTGTGATCTTCTTCCCTGAAGGGGAGATGAAAATGTGTGTGGAATGAGAACACTGTTGGGGTCAGGGCCTCTGTGGGGGGCACCTTCCACATCTCTGTGAAGATGTTGGACTTCAGCTCACAGAGCTTCTCAGATTCTGGGGTCAAAGGCCAGGTAGGAGGCAACCTGGGACCCGAGAAGGTTCTGGGCAGTCGGGTCATCTCCTCCTGTGGATGCAAAGTCAGAAGGGAGGGAGGAAAATTGGAAATGTTCATTTGGAGGATTGTACCCAGATAGGGAAAGAACTTAGAGGATTTGAAAATATGGTGAGGATTCACACTGCGTGCAAGATGCCAGGATCAGCTAAGTGCATTCGGTAATGTCCAAATAAAAATTGTACGTGACTTGATTCAAGAACACTGTAATAGAGGAGAGAGGACGAACTTAACCCCAGAAACAAAAGGCTCAGACATTTTAAGAGCTGGTAGAGGGCATTGTAGGCACTTGTATTTGCTAATCAGCCTTACTCAAAAGAGAAGTACAACTTCTGATAAAATCCTGACGGGAGGTACTTTTACAACTTGGTTGTAAAGGGACTCACCAAGTTAGGCTCATGCCCTCCCTCAGAGACTGAGACGTGGGGGCAGGATCTTCCAAGAGGATTACCTTTCAAAGGGATGGGCCCAGGCCCTTGGGAAAGACATTCCCTGGATTCTAAACCTGGCAAGAAAATTTTAAGAAAACTTGTATACATTTCAAAAGGGCAGAGAAAGAATCTGCAATTATAGATTTCAATTACATTTCTATCAGAAACGCTCTAAGGAAACGGAGGCCAGGGGCCTGCAGTCAGCAAGAACTGTCTAAAGTTTAGTTGAGTGTTGGGGAACGTGAGGGTCTAGGTCATGACAAAACTGCTTTCTGCACAGCGGGAGGGAAACTCAACTCCATCTCAATCAGCCAAGACCCAGCCTGCATCTCCATCAGTTCCCTGCAATTTATAAACGTGCAAAAGAGCAGAGAGACAGTGAACAGGGCCAGAATCTGAGCATCAGAAGGCTCTGCTTGCTGGACGTTCCATGGAAACACAACACTTCTCCAACAGTCACTTTCCGTTTGAACAAAGTTCGTCTCTAAGGAAGAGTGTTCTTGATCCCAAAGCAAGGTTGCTCTCACTTGATTTGGCCCGATTATTTACACAGGTGCAGCAGGATTGCACACTCACCACAGAGTTTCTCCTCTGATGCAGGTTTTCCTAAGGAGCCTCAGATGGGACTTTTAACAGCCTCTTGACGTTAGGAAGCCTAGACATCAGGACCCACCTGCAGTCTCTAGAGCTTTGAGTGAGGCCCTCTCTTCTCCAGATCCTCAAAATACACATCAAGCCAATCTTAGCTCCCTGAAGTGTGGGTCATGTCTGATCCCATGGGCGTCATTCTCAACTAGGACAATCGAGTCAAAGCCATGGTTGTACCATCAATGTTTCCAATGATATCCTAGTAACAAGGAGGACAGAGTCTTACTGAACCTACACAAATAACTCTATTGCCATGGAAATAAGAATGCTCAAGAAGACTTTAGGAATTCCTGAGAGGAATCAGACAGGGAGAAAAGGATCAGTGTTGATACCCGCATGGATGTCCTTCTGTCTATTCCCATTGTTTGTGTCACAGTTCTGGCGCCATCCACACCTCCCCCAGAGGAGTGATAGAGCAGGGATTCCTAAGAGCTTATTGTTTGCTCCCACCCTACATTGCACAACCACTGCCCGCGCTTCCACTGGGGAGATGGTGCAACTGAGACCAACAGGAGCTGGGGACTGGAGTGGAATGTGACCTTACGCCAACAATAATGACAATGTCAGTTCACATTGCTGAGCATTTATTGACTCAATGCAAGTCTTCTAAGGAATTTCCACCTTCAGCATTGACTATCACAACAACTCTACTTGAAAAGTGCATCAGATCATTATTTTACAGATAAGGAAAAAAATCTATTCAGAGTTGAATAACATAGAGGAGGGTAAGAGAGCCAGAGGGCCAGACTCATCTTTCACATTGAGCCTGGGGAGGTCACTTTTGCTGGAACTGACCGAGTTGGAGGCCTCACATTGATAATTCCTGGCATCCTCCATCCTGACTGGGTGTATGGCGAGGGTGCTGTTGTCCGGGGACAGCTTCAACATCTCTGTGAACCTCAGACTCTGGTCACTGAAGAATCACTGGATGGAGATGCTGGTGTCACTTGTGAGGCAGGTCAGGACCATGGAGTCCTTATGTTCTGTCACTGGGGTCCTTATGTCCTCTGCGGACTCTGATGGGGGGCTTTGAGACCGGTGCTGTGGAGAAACAGAGGAGGTGATTGACTGAGAGTGAGCCTGGGGCCTGGGGCCATGCTCCTTCCTCAGAGATCTCAGCCACTCTGTAAAGGTGACCCAGAGGATGGCCCTGAACCCTGCAGAAGGATGAGCATCTTTGTTCAGGTGACCATCTGTAAGGAGAGGGCTGCACCGCTCATTTTGATCTCCCCCGGTTGACTCCTGAACTGTCCCCCTGGACATCTCTGTATTATTAGCATCAGAGTCCTCTTCTCACCCCACATGTCCTACAACCTCGTGATCAAGTGGAATTTCTCTCTCATGGACTTTCATTGATTTTTTCCTAGAACATTCTTTGACTTCAGAAAAGAACAGGCCACATTCTCTAGATGCTCTTCCGTGTGTGTTGGGGAAGGCAGGCTTGCCAGCTCCGTCCATCTCTGGGGCCAAGGGAATGCTACAGAAAGTGGGAGGGCATTGACTTCTTGTGAAATAATTGATTATGTATTGGGGATGGCCCCACCCAATCCTCACCACCTTAGGACCTGAAGAGCTTCTCATCTAAAGAATTTTTCACTCTGAACTGGACTTTTATTTCCAGGTCTGTAGATTGAATATCACAGTGAAGGAAATCTCTAGAGAGAAGTGGTTACAGTTTTATCAAAAGACAGGCAGTGTTAGGAATAGGAGGAAACTACTCAATATGACAAAGGTCATAAATGAAAAGCTCACAGCTAACATCATACTCAATGGTGAAACACTGAATAACTTGCTTCTGTGATCATGAACAAGACAAAGATGCTGCTCCCACCACTTCTAGTCAACATAGTAGACAGGTCCTGGCCAGAACAATGAGGCAAGAAGAAGAAATAAAAGATATCCACATTGGAAAGAAAGAAGAAAAAGTATCTCTTTTAGTAGAAGACATAATCTTACATGTAGAGAATCCTAATGATTCCACCCACAAACAAAAAAACTGTTAGAACTAATAAAGAAATTCATCAAAGTTTCAGAAGACAAAATCAACACTCGAAATCACTTACATTTTTATAGAATAAAAATAAACAATCCAAATAAATTAAGAAAACAATTCCATTTACAATAGCATCAGAAGTTGAAAATACTTAGGAATAAACTTAACCAAGGAGGTGAAAGATGTGTACACTGAAAACTACCAAACATTCTTAAAGAGATTAAAAAAGACACAAATAATGGAAGGACATCCATGTTCATAGATTGTAAGAATTAATTTTGTTAAAATGCCAGTATACCACAAATGATCTACATATTTCATGTAATCCTATAAAAATCTCAAAGAAATTGATGCAGAAATAGAAAAATCCAGACTAAAATTCAAGGGAACCCTGATAGTTAAAACAGTCTTTAAAAAAGAGTATAAAATTGGAGGATTCACACTTTCTGATTTCAAAACTTACCACAGAGCTGAAGAATTAAAATCCTGTGGCACTGACTGAAAGACAGATCTAGATCATGGAATAAAATAGAGATCCAAAAATAAAGCCTCGATTATATGATCAAATGATTTTGAGAAGGGAGCCAAGACCATTCAACAGAGAAAGAACAGTCTTTTCAACAAATGGTGTTGGGAAATTGGATATCCACATGCAGAAAAATGAAGTTAGACCATTGCCTTCCACCACATACAAAAATTAACTCAAAATGGATCAAATCTTAAGGTAAGACCTAACACTCTAAAACTCTTCGAAGAAAATATAGGAAGAAAACTTCATGACATTGGATTTGGCAGTGATTTCTTTAATATGACACTAAGAACACAGGCAAAAAAAAGACAAAATAGCTAAATTGGTCTTTGACAAAATAAAAACTTTCAGTTCATTGAAGAACAAAATCAACGGAGTGAAATGTAACCTATGGAATGGGAGAAAATAATTTGCAAATTATGTGTCAATAAGGTGTTAATATCCAGAATATACATAGAACACCAAAACTCAATAAGAGCAAAAACAAATAAGATCATTGAAAATGGGCAAAGCACTTGAAAGGACATTTCTCCAAAGAAGATCTACAAATGACCAATCAACATTTGAGAAAGGCTCAACATCACTAATCATTAGGGAAATGCAAATCAAAACTATAATCAAATACCCCCTCATATCTATTAGAATGGCTACTTTCAGAAAAACAGAAAACAACAAATGCTGGAGAAAATATGGAGAAATTGGAACCCTTGTGTTTTGTTGGCAGGGAGTTAAAATGGTGCAGTCCACCATGTGAAATGATATGGCGATTATTCAACAGATTGTACACAGAATACCTTATGACCTATTAGTTCCAGGTTCTGACTGTTGATGGACCACATAAGGTGGTATTCCGAGTCTCAGGTTCCCATTCAGTCTACAGGGTCTTTGTGCTCCACGGGGCTGGAGTTGTTGCTTGTGATGACAGGTGTGGGTAACTCCACTGTGCAGGGAACAGAGAGGACATTGCCCTGTGTGGTACCTGGTTCCTGCCAGGCATCTTCAATCAGAGTTGGCATCTCTCACCTCTCAGCCAACCTAAGTCCTTAAAAGAATAAGGCAGGTTTGTGTATCTGAAGACAAATTCATGAGGATCTGAGTGCTCAGAGAACATAAGGCCGCCTGCTCTGTGTCTGGGAGAAAGCACAGACTTTCTCAAGTGTCAATATGTTAGCAGGGTTTGGTCTTGAAAAGACATAGCATGGAGGTCAGTGTTACCATCACTCTCCCACACTGCCCTCCATGCCTCTGCTGGTTCTTCACTGTCCAGCTGACTGCCTGGCCACTCAGGGGTGATTCCTGCCCACTGCACTCACCTCCATCACCCAGAGAGGTGTGTTTTCTCTGAGGCACCATGTTGCAGGTTCTCCTAGAGATGGGTAATGGTGAGTCTGGGACATGAGGACCAGGAGCAAACAGAGCAGTCAGGTGAGTGTTCAGGCCTCAGGGCAAAGATATGGATCAGATCCTCCCACATGATTGTGACTGACATGAGCGTGACCCAATAAATGATAGAGAGAGTCCAAGGAACGATCCAGAACAGAGTGAGGGGACAGGCAGGAGCTGCCTGGCTTTGGCAGCAGAATCTTATCTCTCCCTTGGTCTTTAACGTCTCTTGTGTCTCTGCTGAGGGCAGGTGTGGACGTGAGCAAATGCAGAAGGTCTGACTGATGGAAAGGGGGGAGCCTGAACTGGCTGCAAATCTGGCCCTAGTGGACCGTCTGTGTTTGGTGGTTATGAGATCAAGATTTGATGAGAAGTTAAAATTCTTCCATATGGGAGAATTATGACTAATACTCCAGGATCTCAGATGAATTGTGGGAAGGAATGTTTCTCTAGAGAGCACTGAAATACCTGCTCATGGTCCTGAGCCCCTGGAGGGTCAGAGGACATGTCCTATATGGCCAGAAGTCCAAGGACTCGGCATCCAGTCTCTGAAGGGATTTTGGATCATTCATTCATTCACCATTCATTCATTCCTCCATCAAAAGCAATTGAGAGTGTGTTACCCACGGGCCCTGTGCTGGTTTCAGGGGTAGAGTAAGGAATGAGATGTCAAAGTCTTCCCTTTCTACTCCAGTGGAAGTGACCCCAACACACCAGCAAACAAATAAATGATGTCAAGTCCAGTGCAGGGAGGTTGATCATCCACCTGAGGGGGCAGCCTGGACATTCCCTGCACTGACTCTGATTGTTGATGCAGGTAATTTAGTTCTAGAGTAAATGGTGATGAATTCTCCATTTGCTCTCACTCCCCAGGCCAGGAAGTCTCTTTCTGAGCTGGAGACACATGAGAAGAAAGGATCTGGACTGACAATTTGGACTTGGGGTCCACAGACACCTGATAAGGCCCCTGGTGGAGGAGAGGATGGGGCTGTGGTTATAGACAGTCCTCCTGTCTGCCGCTCATGGTCTGTGGAACCTGGTTCAGTGGCTGTATCTCTCTTTGACTCATTTCTCCTCAATGACGTAGGATAAATATACAGCTGCTGGATTGTCAGTGAATAATCCTTAAATACTCATGGTACATGACTTAAATCTTGCCAGAAAGGAGCTGCCCATATGAATGGCATCTGTTATTGTTGATTTCAAGAGAGAATGCCCCCAGGACTCATCCCTGGTGGATGAGCTGCCAGCAGCATCTTCTCGCCTCTGTTCCTCCCCTGGGGATACTGACCTTCCTATGGAGTCTCCTAAGTCTCCCAGGGTAGTCAGTTAATGGCTTGGGGAACTTGTCCATCTGTGTTCTCCATGCTGAGTCTCATGTGAAGGATCAGGTTCCACCCCTGCCCAGATGCAGCTCTTGGGGATGAGCCCTGGCTCGTGACCAGCTCAGGAGCCTGGGGACTCAGGAAGCCAGGAAATCCTTGCTCCCACTCAGCCCTGCCCACAAGGCCACAACCCAACCTTGGCACAGGCTCCCCAGGGTCACTGGAGTCAGGAGCCCTGGGCAGGTGCTTACTGAGCTGAGGTTCTCTGTTAAGATCCCAAGGGGATCCTCAGCCAGGCCCTGACCAAGCCCTGCAGGGTCTTTCTCAGGGCCATGTTCCCGGGGATTGTCCCAAGGGCCTGGACTGAGATTGATCTCCTTCTGCTGAGTTACTCCCAACATCTGGTCCTTCTCTCTGCAGAGAGTGTCTGCAGGGTCTGGATTCCAGAAAAGGAAATCCAGTCTTTTAAAGTTTGTCTCCACTGTGTGTATCCTGCACCAAATGCTCAAATCCCAACAATGGACCGAATGCAGAGGGGGATGTAGGCACAGTCCAGGCCTGTCAGTACTGTGTGTGAAGGAGAATTCACCCCACCCAACACCCAGAGGTCAGAGAGGAATCACTCACGGTATACGCAGAGCAGTCTAGTTCCTACATCACTTTTCATATTTCTCTGCAAGGCTTGTATGGTATAGTATCCTGTGTCCTCCTGGGTGACCTTCTGGAGCAGCAGGGATCCATTGGAGTATAGTTTCTCTCGACCATTGTATCTAGGCCCTGGGGTATTTTCTGATGTATCTATTGCATATGATAGAATTATAAGTTTGTGGTCTACTTTGTCCCCTTTGTACCAGACATAGCCATAAAGATCCTGAGGCAGGTCGGAGACAAGGAGTAGAACATCCTGCCCCACAATAGCATTGGGTGGCACTGATCTGACAGTGAGTTGGGCAGTGATGGGTGGGTTCCAGATGGTTAAGAGCGAGACTAGGAGGGAAGAGAAAGAGATCAATCAATGTTTGGACCTTGTTGAAAATAATAAGAATAATGAGAAGTTTTCACTGATTGAGGTCTATGGGGAAGCCATTCTGGGTTAAATCTGGTTCAGAGTAAAACTTGTTTTACCCAGAGCAGCCTGACTGTGGCCCTCTGCCCGCGCACTGTACCTCTGCTTCAAACATTCCCCAAAGCAAAGAATGCATCTTTAAAGACAGGGTGAGTGTCCCCTTTCCTGACTCCAGCCCCAGTACTTCTGGACCATAAGCTTTCTTCCAAGAGCATCAAGGACAAGTTGACTTGCTGTGTATGTGCTGAGCATCTCCTTGTGACTTTAAAGTCATTGTATTCCTGTCATACTTGATATATGTTCTTTATTCTGAAGTGGTCTATAACCACGCTCTGCCCCACACTTCCCTGGAGTGCTTTCTTCCCTGGGGAAGAGAACACCTTTGGGTTGGTCCTCACACTATCTCCTTAAATATTTCTCTAATCTATAGATTGGTTATTGATTATTTCCTTTGACAAGCTATGTATTGGGATGGAAAGATGAGGCTCTGGGTCCTGAGCAGGTGTCTTCGTCTCTTACACTTGGAGTGTGTGTATGTGTGTGTGTGTGTGTGTTGTGTCTACTGGTCAAGGTCAGCAGCATGACCACCATTACTCAGCCCCTCTGAACTTGTTATTTCCTCTGTTCCCAACACTCTTCCCAGGTGTCTGCCCAGATCAATCCCTCACTGCCCTCAGAGCCCTGCTCACTCTCAGGGGCATCCTTGGGAGATGTCTTCCCTGACCACCTGCTGTAAAGACCCTCTGTCTTCACTGTCTGACCTTTCCCTGCTCTGTTCCCTTCGTGGCACTTGTCAGTCCCTGACATCACATTCTAGATCTCTTTGCTTGTCTGTCCTCCTCCCCATGGAATGTGAGCTTCTGAGGGCAGGGACTTGTGTGATCTAGTTGTACCCGCAGTACCTGGAACAGGCCGCAAACACCTGTGGATGAGTGAATGAGTGTTCCCAGGGCCCTCCATGTCCTGCTGTCTATTTGTCAATTTCCAAAGTGTGGTCAGTAAAGACAATGTTTAGTGTCCCTAGTTCATTTTTTTTCCAGTGTCATCCTCAAATAAATTATTATTATTATCATCAATTTTCAAAAATGAGTCCTCAGTGATAACTAACTTGGAACAGTACAGTAATTGAGATATTCCTACCCCTCACCACTTCTAGATTGTGAAATTTTCCACTTGCTGAGCCCTCCTCCCCTCGTCCTACTCTGCTCCCATATTCTGTCCCCTCAGGTCCCAAGAGAAGTCCTCTGTCGTCTCTCAGAGCCCCATCCTCGCAGGAGACCCCACCCAGTCTCTGTTCTCCCATCCTCCCGCCCACCCTCAGGGAATGGTCCCCTCTCACCTGCTAGCAGGAGCCCCTGCCAGTGGACACGCCCTCTGTGGGCAGTGGCTGAGGGGGATTGCATGGTGGCTGCTATGTTCTCTGTCCCTCTGTCTATGAGAAGAGCTTGGGCTCCAGAAACACTCACAAGCACTGCTGTCCAGATGCTTCGGCTCTGCTGTCCTTCCTCCCTCTGTACTGGGCCTCCACCCTGGGCAAGAGCACTTTACCTGGTCACATGGGCCAGGGGTGGCGTCTCTGCCCAGGACCCTCCTCCCTCGCCTCATTCCTGCCTGCCTTGTCCCTTCTTTCTTTTTCTCTTCTATCTATATTTCTGTTCCTGGGATCTACGGACTCCTCTGCCTTATTCATCAGTGATTCCCCACTACACACACACACACACACACACACACACACACACACACACATGCCTTTGTTGGGGCAAGCACAAGTCTGGGGCACCATGTCATGGGTTGGCCCCACAGCTCTGGGTCAGGGTGCAGCATCACCCTCCCTATCTCTCATCTCCTTCTGACTATTCCTTTCAGAGGAAGAACCCTGGGGGCCCCACTAGGAACTCTTGTCACAGGGATGTCACCCCTGTTCCGTGTCAGAATCACTGTGGAACTTTGTAGACATTATGAATGTCCAGGTGACACCTTAGAAATGCCGCTTAGCAGCTGCCCAGGTTTGTGGATACCCAGCCAGGTTGAGACCCCACACTGTGGGCGTGGGTCAGCCTCTCCCCTTCTCCTGTTCAGAGTCAGAAGATTCAGTTAAGATGCAGATTCTGACCCGGCATGTGTGGAGTGGACCTGAGAGTCTGCATCTAACGAGCTTTCAGGTCATGCTGATCTCACTGGCCTGTGGAGCCCACCTTCAGTAGCAAGGCTGATGGAGACCCCTGTCCCCTGAGAAGATGACCCACCCACCCCAGCACTGGGCCTTGGGGCCTTTCAGCACCACACAGAGACACAGGGGTCCCCAAACCTGGGGGAATACTTCTGTTTGTGACACAGAAACCCAGCTGGGCACCAGGGTCTTCCCAGTGTCCTCAAATGCTCTGGGAAGGTTGGATTTACTCCCAGCAGGAAGGCCACAGAGATGACTCTGGGGGAGAGAAAGGGGCAAGCTGAGTGATGACTGGCAAGGAGACCCACCCTCCATCTCCTGGTGTCACCAGCCTGCCTTCTGCTTACAGGGACAGAAACCAAATACTGTTGTCTCAGAAGGAGCTGCAGTTCTCGGGGTTGAAGGGGGGACAGTTTCCTGCATGTCCTGGATGAGAGGACATTGATGGTTACAGGTCATCTGGCTGTGGGCTTCCTGGTCCTCAGGGGAAGGTTTCAGGGAGACCACCGCACCCTCTCCATGTCTTTTGGCTGAACTGTGGCTCTGAGCCTGTCCATGTGCTCCCTGACTGTCCTGGAGCCTCTGTCCTCTGCCTGGTTGACTTTCCTGGGATCCCCCCACCTTCCCCATGGGTGGTGCCTGGCAGGAAGTGGGGAGCTGCAAAGGGACACCTGACAGAGCAGGGTTCTCTGAGGCCCTCAGAGGAGCCTGCAGAACATTCCAGGCAGGTAGGAAGGACTCAGACGGAACTGTTGGACCAAGGGATGGAAATCATGTTCCTTCTCCACTTAGCCAAAGCCACATTCCTGAGTTGATTTCCTGTGTGTTGACTGTGAGTCGCAATATCGCCCACTGGAGGGCATGAGGAGACCTGCAGCCAATGTCAGGGGCTGCACCAGGGATGCTGACCAGGCTCCAGAGGGTGTGAACTGACCCTAAGCCCTATACTGAGGGGGGCTCTGACCTCCAGGCTGAGGGGTCTGTCAGCCTGGACCTTGGTCACTGCCAGTCCCAGGCTTCCCGACTCCATCCCAGCGCAGGGAGAGCCCAGGGAGAGGACAGGCGTTGTCCAGTGGACTCCTAATCCAGTGTCCTGTGCTGCCTGGTGGAGGCGCTGCCTCAGGAGGAGTTCTCTGCCCCTGAGGTTTCAAAGGAAGGGCCCAGTGAGTGGTCTTTTGAGGTCTCAAGGCACCCTGGAGAGTCTCAAGGCCTGGGAGGCTGGTACCTAGAATGGCCTGTGTTTCCCCCATCACAGCACGGGCCAATGCATCCGAGTCATCTGTGTCCCTGTCTGTCGTCTGCTCTAGATCTCTCCACAGGGCCCAGACCTGGAGCAACACCATATGGAGACTCAGACAGACGATCATGCTGGTTCCGTCCCTTCAGGGGAGAGCCCCTGTGGGACCCTCAGCCCTTCTGAGATGGAAGAAAACACATCCTGGTTGTCCAGTTCCATCTTGCGTGGGAAATTCCCCTTGTTCCCCCAACACTCTTGCCTGCTGAGATATCTTCATGGATCCACAGTCAGCTGTCCCCACAGGCCAGGGACCCTGGGGATGGGGGGTCGCCCTCTGACTTCCTTTGTGATCAGGGTAGGTCTCTGACTTCCCCGTGGTAGCTTCATCTAAGGTGGAGAATCCAGATTTTGTGTCGGGTCAGGTCTCTGTGAGAAGAGGAAGGACACAGGCTGCAAGCCCAGGCCCTCTGGGGAAAGAAGTCACTCACAAGGGAGAGACGGGGAGGGGTGTGAATTTCTTAGGTGAATAGGGATCTGACCCCTCAGAGTTAGGAGGCCCCTGTCCTCCCTCCTGACTGTACGAGAGGTAAAGGCCCATCCCTGGAACAGCCACGGGCACTTGCTGTCCGCCTCCCATGGTGATGCCAGTGCCCCTCTGTCTACATGGACCGTGCTCTGACCCCTAGGTGTCACACGAGGTTGACAGACTTCTGTTGTGTGGTTTCCTTTATCCATTTAACGAGTGTTTATTACGCATCTGTTACTGGGTGCAGACAGGGATGGCTGGGTATCTGGCCTGGCTTTGGTCTCATCTTTGAAGACATTGTGGCTGGAGTGGAGGCTACTGTACAGAGAACCCTCTGGGCACAAGGAAGGGATCCGATGTCCTCATCTGTCATAAGAGATTAATCCTGGTGGCCTACACCCTGGCTCTACCTCCTGTTGTCACTGCCAGTTCCTCGTCAAACCTCCCTCTCCCGTCCTGGCACCGCCTGAGGCCTCAGCACCACCTCCTTGTCACCGGGGTCTGGATGCTCTCACTGAGGATCTGACCAACCAGTCCGGCTCACCTGATGCTCCTGGAATCTGAGAGAAGGGCCAGGTGATGGGATCTGGGCTGCCTTACAGGAAAGCACCTCCAAGCCTCAGTGACCACCACCTGCCAGGACTGGTAGGTCAGTCCAGGGGCATCATGGCAGGTGGTCGTGGGGTCCAGGCGTGCCCAGGAGCTGCCCGTGAGAGCTGAGTGTGGGGCCAGTGCTTTCCAGTAGGTATTCAGCTTCCAGAACTTGGGGCTGTCTGTGGACGCTGCAGAGGCAAAGAGCTCAGGGTTCTGATGTTGGTTGTGTTAGAGCCACAGAGAGTGTGAGACTCTCCGGCTGCCAGCCCCATACCCGCCCGTCAGCAACCCTGGGACACAGGAACATCAGAACACATTGCCCAGGGTGCCCCTGCTGTCTTGAGGACCAGGGGAGCTCGGCCCAGCTCCTCCTGCTGCTGGTTGTAGGCAGTGGGACCTCTGAGAGGGCCCAGGAGCCACCTGTAGTTTTGTATTTGAGATTTAAAGGGAAAAGGGGAGTCATTTTTACGAGGTCACCAAATTGTAGACAGCCTGTTGACAGAAGGACACTCTTACATCATTGTGAAAATGAACGGAATGCACTGGATGCTCTTTTAAGGAAAAACAAACAAATCATTTTAGTTTTATCAGTAACTGTGATGCATGTTTTATTCTCTAGTTCATTTTTAATGTCACATTTTGTAGATTTTCCTCTTAAGGAAATGGTGAAGACTGACCTGGCTTCATGTTTTAGCTCAAGAATGTGGATTTTACGTGGACTCTCCTATGATTTTAAGCTTTCATGCATTCCTATAGATCTTCTGTGAAAACTAATGAGATTTCTCTTTGTCCATTCTTACTGGTCATCCCTGTGGAGAGAGTCACAGTTTCCTCCAAGAGGTGGAAAGCATCTGATACCAAAACAAGTGTCCCAATCCTTCCGGGTAACAATGATGGCACTCAAGTGGAGGTCTGTTCTAGGTGGGTGAAGGCAACTGTTTTGAGAGCTCGTCTCTCAAAGTGAAGACTAGACGTTACCTCTTGGACCTGTCACAGTGTTGGGATGCATGAAGGACAGAAATAGAGGTCGGTAATTTCGGTATCAAATCCAAGAGTGGACAAGAGATTTTGCCTGGAGTGTGAGAGTGGCCGGCTGAATGGTGAGGACACTAAAAAGGCCCCCCACCGAGGGGGAGTGTCAAAGGCTCCTGTGCTTCTGAGTGCGTCCTGGTGTTGGAGGAAGGGTGCTGTCAGCCCATGGGGCTGGGATGAGGCCCTGACACTGGCCAGTCTCTGACAAAGTCCATTTCTTGGGTGTGGAATCATTCCTAAGGAATGATGCCAAGGTGTATGATTCTGAAAAAAGAGAAACTCCTATGATATAATTTTCTTCTTAATAAGGTAT